TACCGTGACTTGAGAGGCTTTAAGGAAAAAATATTTCACTCATTTGATGAAAATGTACACAAGATGAGAGTGTCATGTTGATGAGACTGTGTGAGGCAGGACAGGGAAGGCCATCCTGGACATAATCAGTTTACTCATGGTTACATCGAGGATGGGGGCGTAGATGTCACGAGATCATCCGCGAGAGTCGGAGATGCGATCATGATACGCCCTAGCCAATTGCGGAGTCTTCCGAAAAGTTGACGAAAACAGGAGAAACCGCCACGATCGTCAAACATTCGTTTTAGAAGACTGTCTGATTTGGAATCCTTCTCGAAATTGATATAGAGAGTTGTTGTCGTTTTGTTCAACTTACAATGTCCGCTGCAATAAGATGTTATAAATGAGTTGGTTTCTGTTCATATTGATCTCAATTTCTGACAGAAATTATTGATAAGAACACACGGAGTACCCCTCGTTGTCTCTGACTATGGTACGTAATAATGTGTCCTGTCTCAATTTTCGGTTTCCCAATATGCATAAGGAATCCTCGAGTAGGGTGTTTAATACACATGAACTTTGACCAGTTTCCTACAACACAAAGAGCATTCGCACAGATCTCAGCCGACCAATTTTGCTGCATACGAGTCAAACCGTTACCACATGAAACAAAGCGAACACGAAATAAATGTACATACAATTCGAAGTAGAGTTTCGAGCGGAAAACTACTGGCCACTTTCTAGAAGGCATGCTATTATGTTGGGTTCAACTTAACTAATCGAATTACCCTTCTTTCCTATGCAACCTCGACCGCTTTCGGCGTCGACGGCGGCAAGTTAATTCAGTCGCAAAAAGTTCCGATGAACCGCATAAAAAACGGCGACCAAATATAACTTGGGATCGCCATCACAAAACCTTTTTTGCGCCTATAGACGTACCACGGAAGGACCAAGAAGACGTACTCGACGGGCCGCCACGTCTGCGAACGAGCACATCTGGCCGTCTGGCATCATTCCATACGAATGGAGGCCAGTTTTTTCAAGTATGTGTATTTAGTACCTTCATGAGATTTACCAGTGAGTCTTTATGCGATTTGACTGATTAGAATGTAAAATGCATAGTTAATGTTTTCATGTGCTATTGCGCACAAACTGTAGCTACGAAAAACTAGCCATTCCTTGATGAACGTTCACTCGACCGCTGACGGATCT